CTCTCTCTCTCTCTCTCTCTCTCTCTCTCTCTCTCTCTCTCTCTCTCAGTGAGTGTGTGTGTGTACTGCAAGAGTCAAGGTTTTAGGTAAATCAAAACCAAAGTATGCACAAATGAGACCCTGACAGATTTAGATGCAGGAGCAAAAATAACCAGACTTCTATTTTAAAGAGTTAAAATACATGTTTGTCAATTTACAATGACCTGGATGACTAAGAATTTTCACCAGCGTACAACCAAACTCTGTGAAGCTCAGAAACTGCAACACAATTTTTTTAATTTACCATAAATCTCAATTGTGCTTTAAACAATATAAATGTCCATAGGCGTTGCAACAATTATATGTGAAGGGGACGTGTCCCCTTCACATATAATGAGGACCCTCAGACACCCCGCCCCCCCCCCACACACACACACATTACAAATGCTTCTGAAGCCAATGTAAATATCCTTAAATTTAGAAAATGCCTCTTTAGTGTCTCTGTTTTGCATCTCCTCTTGTACATTATTAAACTTTCCCTCAGTGTGAAATGGTTTCGGTCAGGCAAAAGACACGGACACCATTTTTGAGCTCAACAGTGTTGATATCACACATTGATAGAAGCCTGTTAAAAGGTCGAGCCATGCTGAACAATGGATGGAACCAATAAACAATCAAAAATAAAACCAAACGTTCAGTTTGACTTTACGTTTTGACACAACAGAACACAGAAACAAAACGGTGTCCTCCTCATTTAAACACAACTAGAAAAAAAATGCATTTCCTGTGAAAAAGTAGTGTGAATGCTTATTGCTGAAGAACTTGCTGAAAAACAGCTAAAATTAGTTTTAAAACATGTTGAATTGTAGCTGACGTGAAATAACAAGCCTTAATTAGCAGAAAGAAGACATTTTTGCTGAATTAGATATAAATTAACAGAAAGGAGCACAAAAATTAGGAAATTAGGTAAAGAAGCTGAAATTAACAACAACAACAAAAAAAAAGGATGAAAAGTAGCTGAAAAGGCAGAAAAAAGCTTAATCACCCAGAAGGAGGTGAAAAAAGCTGAAAGGTGCTCAAAAAATGTGTAATTAGCTGAAAAGGTTAAAATTAGCATAAAACAACTAAATAGTAGCTGAAATAGCAGAAAAGGTTGAAACTAGCAGAAAAAGCTGAAAGGAGCATAACAAGCTGAAATAACCATAAAAAAGTTAATTATACCAAAAGTAACAAAAATTACCATGAAAAACTTGAATTTACCTGCTGAAATTAGCTAAAAATGCTAAAAAGGTAGCTGAAAATATAGAACAACCTTAAATTAGCAAAAGAACGCAGAAATAACATATATTTGCCCAGTTAGGCTGAAAGAAGCAGAAATGAACACACAAAAAGAAAATTATATGAAAAAAGCTTAAATTAGCACCAAAAAAAAATCCAGCTGAAATGTAGCTAACAAGAAGAAAAAAGTGAAATTACAAGAAGGAAGTGGAGAGAGCACCTTTTTGCTAAATTAGGCTGAAAAAATTGAAATGAGTCCAAAAAATGTGGAATCATCTGTA